TTATCTGTATTATTATCATTAGATTTATTTTTTTTCTTTTTATCTCCTCCTTTTTTTGCTGCTGCTGCTGCTGCTGCTTGTCTTCTTGTTGCAGTACTTAATACAGCCTTAACTGTTTGCTGCGTCTCCCTATTTGCTGCTGCTGCTCCTATGTGCTGCGGATATGCAGCAGCAGCAGCAGCAGCACCGCTGCATAACATTTTCCATCCTGTAGGTATACGTAAGCATGCACGCTGCATCTGTACAACATGTTGTTGTTGCTGCTGCTGTTGCTGCTGCTGCTGTTGCTGCTGTTGCTGTTGGTCTTGCTGCTGTTTATCTAGCTGTTTTGTTTCTTCTGCAGGTTTATCAATTTCTATTGCTTCTCCATCTTCTGCTGCTGCTGCTGTTGCTGCTGTTGCACCTGCTGCTGCTGCAGTAGGTGGTGTAGTTGCTGCAGTAGCTGCTGCACTCTCTGCCTGTTGTTTATCTGCTGCATCCCCCTCATAATTTGCAGCAGCAGCAGCAGCAGCAGCAGCAACAGAACCATCTTTCTTCTCCCCTCTCTCCCCACTACCCTCCTCAATAGGAGCAGCAGCACCATGACCATCAGCAGCAGCAGAAGGATCAGCAGCAGGAGTAATAGGAGGTACAACAACTTCATCATCAATAGGTATAATACCTATAACCATTTGTGGCTCAAAAGAAAGAGATATACAATATATTAATGAATGCCAGAACCAATACTGATTAAATAAACAAATTCCTGCTGCTGCTGCTGCTGTACATACACCTTCTTTATTGCATAGACGTACAGCTACATTTCGACCCTATAAAAAAAAAAAAAAAAGGAAAAAATTTATTTATTTATTTATTTATTTATTTATTTATTTTTTATTCTTAATTTATTTCATCTTTTATGCATACAGAATTTTATCTACTTTTATATAAATGGTTATATGATGGGGAGAACATGAATATTTATATATTTGCTGCTATTCCTGCTCTTGCTGCTGCTCTTGCTGCTGCTGCTGCTGCTGTTGTTGCTGCTGCTGTTGATGTATATAAACCCTGTACAAACCCAGTAAACCCAGTAAACCCTAAACCCTAAACCCTAGAATGTATATATTCTTACTCCTGCATCAATAAGTCCTGCAGCCATAAGACAACCAAATCTAACAAGAGGATCCTCATGTTTATCTTTTATTATTTTTTTTATTTCTTCCCTAAATTGATTTGCTGATGAATTATTCTGTAATTGATAATATAAACCTAGACCTACATAAGCACCTATAAATAAATAAATAAAAAAAAAAAAAAAAGAAAAAAAAAAGACGCATACAAACCCTAAACCCTAAACCCTAAACCCTAGACTGATAGCATAGGGTTTATACAGGTGATTTTATGAGGTGTATAAAGAGGGTTTATTTTTATATTCGTGTATAGGATTTAGGGAAGGATATATTTAGTAGGGTTTAGGGTTTATTTAGTAGGGTTTAGGGTTTATTTAGTAGGGTTTAGGGTTTATTTAGGGTTTAGGGTTTACCTTGTCTAACAAAATCAGTTGCATCAGTAGTTAATCTATGTAGGGTTTCTTCTGCTTCCTTATTATTTTTTCCTGCAAACCCTAACCCTACTGCAACAGCAGCAGCAAAACGTACATGAGGGTTATAGCTGCTGCATAATAATACTAATATACGTAATAGCTGCAGCACAACAAATATATATATACACATATAAACCCTAAACCCTAAACCCTAAACCCTAAAAAAAACCCTTATAGTCAACACTAATAATAATAAACCCTAATTAAAACAAGTATAAACCCTAATATAAACCCTAATAAGAACTAAACCCTTTCCTCCATAAAAAGGGTCATATATATATAAATGAATATTCCTTGTCCTATTCCATTTATTAGGGTTTAGGGTTTAGGGTTTAGGGTTTAGGACTTACTTCTTCTCTATGAGAACAAAGGACAAACCCTAAAGAAAGAACTGCTGCTCTACGCACATCATCACTAACATCAGAAACAGCTAATCTTAATAAACGTTTTACTGCTTCCTCCTGAATACACATACAAACCCTAAATTAGGGTTTAGGGTTTAGGGTTTAGGGTTTAGGGTTTACAAAAAGTAAGAAATAAACAACGGATTTTGATCACATACACAACATATAAATATAAAAATATAAAATGCATGCATGCACTCATAAGCAAAGCCCCAACCTCCTGTCAATAACAAAGAAACAAACCCTAAACCCTAAACCCTAAACCCTAAACCCTACCTTTCCTGTATTGCAGTATGCAAGACCAATAGCATAGGCACCACCATAACGAATAAGAGGGTCTGCCTCTGCTAGGCATTGTTCTATTAATTCATCAGCCTGCACAAACACTAAACCCTAAACCCTAAACCCTTAAACCCTGATCAAACCCTAAACCCTCCCACCAGTCCGTGTGCAGCAAACCCTAATAAATAAAAAACAAAATAAAAGTTAGTCTTTATATATATATATATAA